AAAATACGACGTCATATCGAAGAATCCGAGTGGAATCAATAAGAGATTTGTCGGTAGATATACCTTTTTCCGACCTTGCAACCTCCATATCATCTATCTCAAGTGCCAGATAGTTCCCACAGCTGTTGGCCCTCAAATAGTTCGGTTCTCTTATTTTATTTTTTGCAGGACGAAAAATGACGTCAAGTTGTGCAAAGAAAAGATGCTCCCGAACAATGGTGTCCGCGTTTGACATACTTTTTTTTCGGAATGTCATGGTGGAGTCGCTGCGGAGGTTTTTAGAATTTTTAAAAAGGTATATTTTGCAAATCGGAAGCAGGTTGAAATACATACAAAGTGATATTCAAAATCTGAGGATTCTGATTTTGCTTCCGTCATCCTATAAACGAAAACACAAATTATTTAGCCGTCTATATTTATCTCATAAACAATGATGATTCCCAAACAAGATCACAATGATAAAAATGATTTCAATTTGAGTCGTTCAAAATATCTATCGCATATTTTCAAAATAAAATTGTGTAATCTATCTCAGAAGCGAGGTCTTATGATGGGACCACCAAAGTGTACTTCTGGTCACATGGATCTTGAAAGAAGCCTTGTTTTTTCGACCATGGTCCCATCGACCGAGTCACAGTACCATCTCCAACATCACGATCTTGGTGAATTACCATTTAAATTGTTTTTCATTCTAAAAAAATGTTCAGGAAAAGTTACCCCATGATTTAGGGAATAGGATCGTAATTCAAATAGGGCTGTGATATGCAGGATAAGGCCAGTACAGGTTGATGAGACCATTGTTAGAGTGATCGGACCGGATGACCTCTTTGGGACCGAGGGTCCCATCATGGGCCCCACGAGTCAAACCTAGGACCTCTCTTCTACGATTAATGCATGGGCGAGCACAAATTATTTGTTCCAACACGCGAATTAGATCATTTTAAACAGTAATATTGAATCAACCAATTTCACAAACAGTTACCGTAAACTCTCCAATAGGGTCGCCATAAAATTAAAAACATTTTGTCTGATGACCACTTTTTGATATCCTTTACAGGAATCGAGCTACATTGGCTCAAAGTGCAAGTATAGGGTGGTTTTCTGTTAGAGAATTTTACCGGTATGTATCTCATAAATCAACCAACTTCGAAAAAAAATTACTGTAGGCGCTCTAATAAAATGCTGCCCTATACTTGCATTTTGAGCCTATATTTTTTAGTACCTGTAAGATATTTCAAAAAATAGTCAACGGAAAAAAATGCTCATTATTATAATATCAAAAACATTTTTCAGTTGACCACTTTTTGATACCTTTTCCGGTAACCGAGATAAAATGGCTCAAAAAACAAGAGCAGCTTGGCTTTTTATTGAAGCGTTTACGGTAGCTCAACCGAAATATCTTCACTCCATACTCTCCGATTATTCCCTATCATTTTATCACAAAAGATATCTCTGAAAAATAACTATAAACTTAGCAACGCGATAAAGGAGCTTCTGTGCGAGCATTTGTCAGAAATATTTCCAGGGATTATCCGAATTATTGTACTTTTAGCAAGCAGAAGCTGTCACCAAATGCATGACATCTAAGACGTATATGGTAAGTCCCGAAACCCCCTCGAACCACTACTGAAAAAATTCGAACTGCGTAACAACTTTATCACAACAAGGCTTTGTTGTCTATTACATCTGACTGATAAATGATAGAACTACCGGAAGTATGGATAAGCTTCTATCGAATTTCCTGTTTCCGGACCTGCCGAGCTTTTTGATTTTCCACGTTTAAGAGTTCGAACTCTGTTTTTATTAGAACCTTAGTTTAGAATCCTTCCGTAAGTAGCTGGACTCGTTAGCTAGTAGCTAAACCCCTATTTTGGTTCATTTTTGAGTTTACAATGACTGTTCTCTGCACTTTCGTGCCATGAACCCAAATACGTCACTTTTAAAACAGCCATCAGCTAGTGTCATTGGTCCCAACGGTGAAATTTCCATATTCCCCCCCCCCCCCCCCACCATGTATGGGCTCTTCTTTTTTTGTTAGAGTTAGTGTATGGGTTTTTGAGAAATATAGGAAACAAAAGAAATGCCTCTTCTTCTTCTTCCCCGGGTTTTTATGCTCCTAACGTTTAGCAGTTTCGGGCGACGGCGCCAAGTGACTCCTGGGGGAATCGGACGATCTCGTAGGTGAAAACAAGAACAGAAGCAAAAAAGAATTATTCTTCTGACTACAGGAACAAGAGAAAAATAAAACCAATTAAAAAAAACCAATAAAAACCTATATATCTAGTGCATACTTACCAGACAGTCCCACTGGTGACAACACTGGACTTCCGATGACGAAGGAGGCCATGGAAAGGCAGAAAAAGTGGGAGAAGCTGAAACCTTGCAAAGTGAGAGGAATAGAACTGATATGGATCTAGATAAGAGCAAGCGATGCTCTCTCGATTATGGGAGGGCAAAGAAGGGGCGACGGATCCCAGAATGTGTCAAAGAGGCGGCGGTGGAAATGGGCGGAGACCACAGAAGAAAATTCTCCAATTGTGGAATAAAACAATTTGGATTATAACACATTTCGGGTAGGGCATTATGTATTCACACGCAATGTTATGCGCGAGACACAAAAAATGAAACGAAAGACCGATTGGAGCCCCCTTATCCATCATTCGCCGCATTTCACTATAGTTACTGGCTCCGAGAATCATACGGATTGTGGGCAGTGATGTCGACGTCGGTGAACTGAATTTGGTTTTTTTGAACGGGAACAAGCTTGATTGGAAATATGAAAAAAAAAAAAGAAATTGAGATATTTAGGGGCTGAAGAGTTGAAGAGGTGAGAAAAGTAAGAACCTGGAAAAGTAGAAACAGGAAAAATCCATATTTAAGGCATCCATCAGGGATGTTGACATATTTGCAAAATTCTGAAAATTACGAAAAAATTTAGAAAATGCCAACAATTTTAAAAACGAAATACCGACCAGCATTTTTCAGAAAAAAATGTGATTGAAATTCAAGTAGGAATTTTTTTTCCGGAGGATTTTTCAGGAATTGGAAATTTTCGGAATGTGGTATGTCTCAATTGCCGCGAAAAACTTGCTCTGGAAAAAATTCAGACATACTAAATTCTTAACAATCTAAACATTCCGAAAATCCGAAATTTTAAAGATTGGGATATTCCGACAATCCGAATACTCGAATTTAGAAATTTCAGAGTTTCAGATTTTTGGATTATCGGAACTTTAAATTTTAAAGATTTCGGAAGTTCAAACTGTCGAAAATTTGGAATTTCAAAATTTCAGAATTGCGGAATTTCGGATAATAGGATTTTAAGATTCCGCAGTTTGGGTATTCCGGAATATCGGAATATTTCAATTCTTGGATTCGAGATTTTCGGAATATTCCAATTTTAAGATTCCCGAAATCCGGAATATTAGAACATCCGGATTTTCAAAATTTGGAAATATCGGAATTTCGGAATGTTAGATTCTTAAATTTCGAACTTTAGGAATATCGGAATATTCCTTTTTTCAAACTTCCGTAAATTTCGAATCTAGAATATTCCTGAATGAATTTCGAATAGGTAAAAATCTGCATATTCCAAAATTCTGATATTCTGAAACTTTGAGAAGTGGAATATTCCGAAATTCAGAAATTTCGAACTTTCAAAAATCTAAGTGTTCCGAAGATTCCGAAATTTTTAAAATCGGAATATTTCGGAATTCCGAAATTCCGAAATTTAGAAAACGATATATTTCAAAAAAATTTTAAAAATAGGAAAAAATTCCGAAATTCTGAAAAAAAACCGAATAGTCCGAAATTAAAAAAACTGAATGTTAGAATATGCCGAAGTACCGAATTTCCGAAATTTTCAAATTTGAAATATTCCGAAACCCCAAAATTCTAAAAAGTTTTCGAAAATTTCAAAAAAAAATTTTCGAAAATAAAAAATTCGAAAATTTCAAAATAGGATATTCCGAAAAATACCGAAAGGCCATTTCCAACTTTTTTAGGATTCACACTCTTTGTTGGTGATCTCTATGACGTATGCAAAACATTTCAGCTATCTAGAAATAGAACAAAAATTGAAGAAGCTCCTCTGAAAATAGATTTGAACTCAAGTAAATTCCCTCTGCTTTCTTTCTTCATTCATGAATTGCTGTAAATTGAGGATGTCGTCAAATTCTGAGAAAAACACATCCCCACTCTATTCATCTTGCTCTTTACTTCCATTTTCTTGGATTTCAAAATTTTATTAGACATTTTTATGCATTTTTAAAAACAGATGACGGTGAACATAGTATAAAGCTATAAGCTTTAATTTTAGAGCTAGGGGTGATACGGCGGTGTCGTTAGATCTCCAAAATAGTTCTTTAGCACTGGACAACACAGACAAAATGACAGTTCGGGGGGTACAGTAAGAATTACAGAAAAATGAGAGAAGTATGGTCGAAAAATGAAGAAGAGAGAAAGGAAGGAAGGGGTTACACGTCTGATACAGTTTTTTAGGGATTACAAAAAATTGGGTCAACCTGCAATTGAAGGTCCCCATTACTTGGGAACACCACGAGCAAGCTTCTTGATCGACAGGAAGAAAAAAAGGTTAACAAATACAAAAACCCGTTATTATTGAAATAAACCACTGTCACTTATGCAGTCAGTTTTTTGCCGGAAAACAAAGGGAAATGGGGGAAGTTACAGAAGCGGGAAAAAGGGGCGGGGAAAGACATCAGAAATACTGAAAAGCGTGTGTGTGTGTTTGGTGGGAGTTTTTTGTGTGTGGTGGGTATGTCTCTGTGGATAGGATAAGAAGTAGAAGATGTAGCGAACACGAAACAAAGAAAAAATAAACGGGAGTTTGTGCTGCTGCTGCTGGGAACAAGAAGGACTGGGAAGTAGATGAGACAGAGTTTTGAAGAGATATTGTATCAAAAAACATATGAGATATGGAACAGATAAATTATACAAAAGAACACAAAAAATCAGCTGATCATTGTCTGCTTTGCAATTCAGATCAACCGCTCCTCCTTTGCAATATGGGACATGGGCATCGCGTAGGCGGCTGATAGGTTGTGCTCCTCGCGAGCCGGATTGTACTTTCCGTGTAGTTTCCTCGACTGTCGAATGTAGCGGAGAACGAATAAGCTGGTGGCAAGAAGCAGTGAGCCGAGTACTGAAAATGGGTAAAAATTGGTTAGAGATAGAGATAAGTGGAGAAAAAGAAAAAATTATAGGACAGGGTAAAAAGTTATACCGATCAAAGCGATGGTGGCAATGATCCAGCTGGCTACAGCGCTTGATTGCTTTCCACTAGATGTGTGATGGTGTGTGATGTCTGACGGTGTAGTTGGTTCCATATTCTTCGGGATAATCTCTTCGTTGGATTCTGCAAATATGAAATGTAGATTGTAGAATACAATCTCTGTAAAGCACGAGAACTACAAAAAGCTCACCTGTCGTCCTCTCCTCCTCACTCTCGATTCCTTCCGTGCTAGTCTCCATTTTTTCTTCTGGCTGTGGATGTGGCATAATGATCATTGGTGTCGGACTGGCAACAATATCTGGCATCTTGATAGCTATGGTAGTCATCCAGAATGGCAAACTTGTCTGTGTGGTTGTAGATATGGCTTCTTCTGATTCGATCTCTTCTTGCTCGGTCGTCTCCTCCTCTTCCATTGTCGTAGTTGGCGCCTCAGTGGTAAAAGTTGTACTACTTGGTTGGATGAACACTGTAGTAGATGGTTGAGTGGAGCTATCGGTCACTTCTTCGGTCATATCTTCCTCCTCATCTGTCTCCTCCATATCTGTAGTTGTTGGGAAGGTGGAGGTGAAGAATTCGGATCTGATTGAGGAATCGGTGGCAACTTGCATAGTGCTTGGAGTTGGGAACGTTTCCTCTGTCTCATCCGTCGTCTCATCCTCTTCCTCCTCTTCATTCTCATCTGGCATGTTTGGAGACACAAATTTGTGGACTGTAGCTCCTGTTGTTGGGGGGAATGTGGTGGTTTCAGGGGTTTGTGGGAAGATGAAGGTTGTCATGGTTTGAGCTGGCACTGGAACCTCCGATGGTTGTTGAGGCTGTTGACTGCTCCATGTTGGTTGCTCTCCAGCAGTGATAATGTGTTGTTGGAACGGTGGTGGGAGAGTGGTAGTGGTTGTGGCTTCGAATGGTCGCAGTGGTTCGCGTGTAACAGTGAAACCAACTGAAAAAATATATGTACAGTAACGGTCAATAAAAATTCTTTTGACTTTTAGAAAATTTGACTATTTTCGGAAGCCTGGAGCTTGGCTATTGAGGGTCAGAAATTTAAAAACATCGAATTATGTAAATCAGACCTAGATTAAACATTTTGCATTTACATAACTTTTTGGAAATCCCTATTTTTCAGCTATCAACCAATTTTTGAACAATACCATTTTTACTGAAAACGTGAAAAAAACAGGCGTCTTTCAGAAATTGGCAAGAAAAGAATTTTCAAGAAGTTTCTGTGAACGCAAAGTTTTAAATCTATGTCTGATTTTTATGATCCATCATAATCCAAATTAATTCAACACTTGAGAACCAAGCCTCAAACTTCCAAAAATGACTAAAAATTAACTGAAAAATACGTTTTTGCATGTATTATTGATCAGTATCATTTAAAGTTTTCTACTTACCAAATGGCTCTGATGGCACTTGCTGAGTAGTTGGCAATGTCTGAACAACAGGTACAGCTGGTTGAGTAGCGACTGAAGTTGTAGAAGTTGCAGTGAATGTTTTTGGAGCACCTTAAATTCAACTTTTGACTGCTTTTAAACAATAAGGTCGGTAAGACGTACAAAAACGTGTTTCTCAATTTACTAAGACCATTTTCAAGTCTGGCGGTTCTGACAAGTTTCCGATCACTTTGGAAATTTTTGAGGGTATAAAACAGAACTAGATCAAAAACATTGCTTCAACAAAATTTTGAGATAGTTCCTAGTTTTCAGTTGTTGTGCTGATTTTTAATGACAACTGTTTTATTACCAAAACTAGTCAAAAGGGGGTGTCTTTTAAAAATCGAACAAAGGCTCAAAAACTAGGGATTTTCTAAAAATTCTGAAAATTCTAATACTCATACTAGGTTTATGTTATACCCTCCAAAATTATCAATGTGATGGGAAACCTGAAATTGGTCAAAACGACCGAAAGTCAATAAAACATGCGTTTCTTTGTATATCTAATACTGTAGTCCCAATTATGAAATTTACCTGTTGGCACTTGTGAAATCTCAAGCACTGGGAACGATGGCGTCACATTGTTGATGACCACGGCTGGTTCGGATGGTTGAACGCTTGTAGCAGATGGTGCATGAAGTTGCATGCAGTCGACAAATTCTGGAAACAGGTATCGAATGTTGAGATAATCGACGTTGATGATGAAACATACGTCCATGAATTGGATGTGGGCAAAGACAATCATACGTTCCATTGATCAATGAAGCACTGGACATTTTATCCATGTTGTCATCGAGAACGCACTTGGCTGATGGGCCGAACATCGAACAGGCGGCATCTCTGAAATTTTTTTAATTGTTTTAGTTTTATTGGTCAAATTGAAGTTATCTTTCCCCATCAAATCGTTCAACTAGATAAAAAACTTATCCGATTTGAAAATCGTTAACCCTTTAGTATTAATTATCGGAACAACAACAAGGGTGTGTCCCTTTTCTGTGTCCTCGTCACATTCCATTGTTCATCCTCATCATTCCCTTTTTCGTTTTTTTTTTCTCGAAAAGCGATTATCTTCCTCTTCGTCTCCCACCCCTAATTAATCCGATCATCAAATGAGTTTTTCTATTCCCTCCAGTCCGTTTTCCGTGAATTTCCGGTATAACTGATGACGAGATGATGACCCAAGACGAGAAAAGAAATGACACGATCGGATTGCGCTTAAGAAAATTGAGCAGCAGGAGCCAAGACCACGCGAGGAATGAAGAGATGAAGAAGAAAAAGTTTTGAAATGAGAGCAAATAAAAGTGACCATAGACACAGAGAGAGCAGCCAGCGGACAGGTCATTGTCGTGTGCGCACAGAGCGCTTACCGTTTTTCTATAACCCCTACGACAACCTCTCCGGATTCATCAGGTTGTGTAATCAGCTCTTTTGCAATTGAGAGGAGGAGCAGCTAGAAGGCAGGAGTGCGGCAAAAAGCAGTGTGCTCGCGCTTGTGTCTACTTGGAATTTGCGCCGCCAGTTTTTCTTCGGAAAACAGCTTTTGGTCTCAGGTTCGAATTTTGAGGAGGATTGTAACATTATACCGTATAATCAAATAGTCGAGTCTGGAGATTCAAAATGGAAAATTGAGTCTAGGACGCTGAGATTGAAATTAATCCCAATTCAAAAAGTATGCAAGTCTAACATTTAACTTTGAGACAGTTTTTCTCGGTTCCTGTCGACATTACAGAAAGGTTGTCAACGGATAAATTGTTCAGCATGATATTAGAAATTCTTGTCAATTGACACATTTTTGATATCTTTCATAGGAACCGAGATAAAGTGGCTCGAAGTTGAAAGTTGAGGGGCCTCTCTATTAGATGTTTAACGGTAGTGGGAATGACATCGAATTAATTATTTTGCCTTCAAATAATTTTTAAAAAGTCAAGTCCGGAGATCCCAAGTGGAAAATTGAGTCCAGGAAGATCACATTGAAATTGATCGCGATTTCATAGAAAACAGGAAATGTGGATTACGTAATACCTGTTATAGTAGGACCTTCACACCGTCAAGTTTGAGCTAAGTTATCTTAATTTTCAGGCAAGATATCGAAAAGTGGTCAACTGAGTGGTCACCTGACTTATCATAATATCAGAATTATTTAATCAGTTGACACATTTTGATATCTTTAATGTGAACCGAGATATCTTGGCTCAAAGTCAAAAATTAAAGGGTTTAAAGGGAATTAAAGGGAAAATTAAAGGGATTCAGCAAAATTGCTGGTTTTTCTTTATGCAGAGGGCAGAAAAATCAGCAATTTTGTTTGCTTCTTCTCTGAATAACCCCATAAGAGATATCAAAATGTGTTAACTGGCAAAATACTTCTAGCATTGTGATAAACAATTTATCAGTTAGCAACTTTTTCTATCTTTGACAAAAACCGAGAAAAACTGGCTCAGCGTTGATTATAAAGAAACCCTTTTATTACAGATTTCAAAGTATTTCATGTTTAACCTCATTAGCGCTTTCTTTTCAACTTTTTCACCCTTAACCCGACTCTAGCTGACCACAAATACTCCTCACCTGTCGCGACAAAACCGTGCAACGTTCCAGACTTTCTAATTCTCGCGCTTACGTCTAATATATCTCATTTGTAAATCGTTTTAGAAACTAACGCGCGCGCAAGCTTCGAAATACCCACGGCGAGGGTCAATGAACAAACATCTCAAGTTGTCACACTGGGGTCGACTCAAGCTCACGGTCGACAAATTGGGAGAAGAGAAAAGAGATAGACTCTTCAAGATCTCTAATGAGTGAAGAGGAGCGAACGGCTTGACAGTTCAATCTTTTTCGAATATCATTCCCAAAGTTTGTTTTGAAATTCCAAAAATGTGCACACACACATACCCGAGGCACACGTCAAGTACGTTGCAGTTGGCGCCGGTGAAGCCTTGACGACACTCGCATTGAGGTTGACCATCCTTGAGCACACATTGACCATTTGAGCATTCTGGATTACAGATTGGAGCTGCCGATTCGTCAGTGTGAGCCTGAAAAAATTACATGGCAAAAGTTATGGCGGAGTAAATTTGCCAAAATAAATATATAAACAGGTCTAATGCTAAGAAACAAGATTATACATAATAGAGAGTTATTACGCAACTCTCTATTTATCTATCATTACAAAACTAACACGTACCGATTCACAGAGCAGTCCGGAAAATGCTGGTGGGCATTCACAATAGGCAATGCCATTATTCGATCGACAAACTCCTCCATTTTGGCATGGCACCGCAGAGCACACATCCAACTCGCAACGATCACCGGTAAATCCATTACGGCAAAGACACATGGCAGCGCCTTCTTGGGACACTAAGCAAGTTCCATTGTTGTGACACTCGTGGTTGGCACATGGTGATGGTGGAAGAGTTGGAGGGTTGGCACTTCCAAGAACTGATGGATCGACAACCTGAAGAAAACTATTAATCTTTTTTTTATTCCCATCTGGCGACTTTTAGTGAACAAAGTTGAATATGCAAATATAAATAAACGAAAGTCTCAAATTACTAGTCTAACCCTCTAAACCCTGTCCGCTTTGAGATAATTTGTAAATGCATAAGAATCTAAACAAACCTTGAACAATGGGAATTGAGGCGAGTTGGCCAACATGTCGACATCCTCATTTTCTGAAAAAAAAGTGTTCATTTTATTTTAGGGTCAGTTCCCTCTCATGCGGATCATGCATGGAGCCGGAAAACATGGTCATGGAGAGAGACATGATTTGCGCACCAAAGTGGCCTACTCGAGTGCAAAAAGTGAATGTGTGTCCGTTTCACACTTATTTATTTATCAAATAATAATATGTCCTCCTCCTTTTTTCTGTGTCTCCCCGAAAAACAAACAGCGGATTTTAAAAGTGCTACTTTGGGTTACTGTAGAAATATCTTACCAGTCTCTCCATCCTCATTAGCCGCATCCAAATAGGGACACGAACAGTTGAGAGCGTTGGCGGTGAACGAGTTTCGCGAAAGATGTGGTGGACATCCGGTGGCTTGTTCGGTTTGCACGACAACGTCTCGAAGACAAGCGGGTCCAGTGACTGAAATCAAAATTTTCCTTTATGTTGAAATTTTTCTAGAGATTCAATTGGATATATGGTGTGCGAGAGGGCAAAGAAAAAGCCAGCAAGGCCGAGAGTCGTTTTGGAAAGTTTTTGGAAAAGATCCACTTGAAGAACAACAAAAACATTTTTCTCTTTCTCTGCGAACAGAAAATCCATCCAAAAACATATTTGTGTGTGTGTGTGTTGTTGTGTTCAATGCAAATATCATGGTATCGGACTGCGAGAATTTTTTGGAAACGAGAAAACACACAGAAAAGAGCTTCTGAGATTAGTGTCAACATTGACCTTGGCATTTTTTTACTATCTTATTGGAATCGGGCAAAAACAAAACTCACTTGATTGAATACGAATCGAGAACGTGCGTGGATTCTGGCTACGGTCAAACTCGACACGCGTCGCGGCGCCTTGCTCAAACTGGCAGTCGAGCCCGGAAGCGGTCAGCTCCCAGCTGAACTTTTCCCATCGTTTCGAGAAATTTCCGGTGGCATCTGAAACTTTTTTTTCAAAAATTGAATTCGTTTTTTAAGGATACCTTGTGGAGCAACACATTGACCTAAAGTTACACCTGTAGAACTATCAACAATCGAGAGTAATGTGGTTGGCATTCCGGAGATTGACCTGAAACTTTAACTAGGGAATCTTTGTACTTTGGTGTAAGGTTTCTAGTTTCTGGCTTCTAAATTTTCATCTTATTTTATTTTATTTTAGTAGTCTAGTGGTAGTAGCAAATGGCGAACGTTGCGTATTACCTTACGACTTCCCCATTTCCGGAGTAATTTCCGCTTTTTACGCTGGGACTTGCGTTCAAAAAGGTGCTTAGACTAGTAAAAAGAAACTAACCTTAAAAACTGATAACCACCGGTCCATGGTAAACTAGATTCGTCTAGTATCCAGACGGCGTTGCCTTGCGACGGGTTCGTAAAATGAAAAACGTCGTCTTCGACTGATTGCGCGCAACTAACTGCCACATAAATACCTGGAAAATGAGAATGGGGAAAAAAGCGTTCAGGAAACATTGGTCTACCAAATATTAGCAACACTCGACAGAACGTAGTCATTATTTTGATATGGTAGGGTATTAGGATGAATAAGTGATGCTGCTTTCGCAACTCCAGAGCGTATGTGTATCTTCTCCGTTTATTCAGTGGAGTTCTTCGTCAGTCTGGAAAATTGAAAATTGAAAAATTGAGAATTTTTTTTAGAGAGGTAAATGAGGGGTTGAGAAGGCAAAAAGATTTTCTCCTCAAAAAAGGGAAGAGACAGACATAAAACATGTGTGAAGGTTAGCAGCAGCCTTCCGTTAAGAGAATTGAGATCGGACAAGTAGATGAGGATGGTAGGAAAATGAAATGGAAGATGTACAACAATTTGTTCGACCTATTTGTTTTGTTTTTTGGGAGTTACTATCATTATAGCTACCAATATAGTTTTTTAAGTGGGCAATCATGGACCAAAAATAACAAAAAAGAAATCATGAGAAAAGTGACCATTTAAGTGGTGGTGGTCTAGACTGGTACCCTCGGTCGCCGTGAACAAAAATGAGTTTGTGTTTGAGAGAAAAGAAAAGACATTGAAAATCGGAATGAGGTGAGTGAGCTGTCAAAACTGCGTAAAAAACAAACTTGACCATTCAGCACCCATAACCGTCGCACCCCCGATGAGGATGAGGCGACGGGTAAAACACCTCCTAAGGTCCCATAGTTGGGTCGCCGGCGCCGCCGCTGCGCTGTTCGGTTCGTGCGAGTGCGCACGCGGGGGGAGACGCGGACAGAAGAAGGTTAGGAAGCGATTGGAAGAAGGAGGTGGGATCGGAAAGGCGGGCCAGCAGCGCGCGGACAAATAGCAAAACTCGCCGATGAGGCAACCCAAGAGAAATCTGATGGTGAGCAGGGGGCACGAGGCGAGCGGAAGAGTGGAACCCCCCAGGTAGCTCAGGGGCGTTCTCCGATTCTTCCGCAGATTGATTGTGAAAGAGGTGTATAATGGGAAAAAGTGAAAAAGGGGATGAAAGTGATACAAAGGCTTATCAGATTAGGTTTGAATTTAGTACTCATTAATCTCTAAAACGTGTTTTTGACCAGTTCCAATACCGGAAGCGTAGATGGTATCAAATTTGATAGGGTGACTTAGTAAACCTGAATTTTCATGAACAGAAGAGGTGTTTAAATAGAAAATTAGAAATACCTGAAATTAAGGTTTTTCAGCAAATGTTTTAGGTCGAGAATTGAGATTTCAGGTAGTTTATGATCGGGATATACCGTACCGGTCAGTAAGACATACAAAACCGTATTTTTCAATAAATGTTTGGAACCTTCAGAAGCCTAGAGCTCGGCTGACAAGTTTCCAATCACTTTGAAATTTCTGGAGGGTGTAAAACAGACATAGATTGAAGACTTTGCATTCACAGAGTTTTCGATAATTACTAGTTTTTCAGCTATTCGCCGATAATCGGAAAATATCTTTAAAATTAAGAATTTTCGCAAAATTTTTTGAATTAAAAGTTATCAATGTAGGCCTATTTTACACTCTCTAAAATTTTCGAAGTGATCGGACACTTGAAAATCGAGCCCCAGCTCCGGACCTCCAATCTCTACTCCAAAATACAGTACTCAAAAACTATACCTAGTTGTGACCTTCAGCCTACACCCGAGATCTAAGAGATCAACCAACTTCCTACAGTCTTCAAAACTTGACCATGCGGAAAAATTGGTATTATCCAGAATCAAAAACGACACAGGATAAAAACCGTTAGACAAACCGACGACAGAAAAGTTCTGAAGAGAGGAAAAATACAAATCTAAGGAATCTGAGGGACACACACACAAAATAACGAGAGGCGACAATTCGATCATGTGGAAATAAAGTGGCGAAATTTGAAATTTTTAAATGCTGCTTTTTCCTATAAACAATTTTTGTAAACATTTCTGAAAAACTATAGCTTGGATGAAAAAAATGCTCAAAAAACGAAGTGATCAGAAATGGAGTGCCCTTGGCTCCATGACGGTGCTCACAGCAATAACCATCTAGAAGCTAAAAAACCGAAGTGACCAGCAGCGACCCAGTCACCGGAAAGCAAGCTTCAACTGGAGCAGGAAAAAATTTGAGGGTGGGTAAACACAAAGGAGCAGCGCCCAGGCGCTACGGTCAGTAAGAGAGACAGACTTTCGAAAAAGACAAGGCTCATTTTAAGGGTAGAGGGAGGAGGGACGCCGAGACTAATCCTAAAATAGCAAGTTGTGTAGTGCACTGAACTGGGCCCCCATCAGTCGCCACTTGAGCAGATTATCAACAGGGTAGTGCTTGACAAGCAAAAAAAAACAAGGAATGTTTTTTCAAGTGATGATGAATGATGATGGTGGTGGTTTTGGCGGTTGTGTGATGAAAACAGAACCAGAAAACGGTGACTGATTGGGTCACTTATGAAATATTGGGAAAGTGAGTGAAACGGGCGGGTAGTGTGTCTGGAATAAGGGTTCGAAAGTGTAATCAGGGAAAAGTGGGAAAGGGAAAAGTACAGTAACCCTCGTTGACTAAATTTATGAAACTCAATGTGTGATTAGCCCCAAAAACTAAAAACGAACTGAAGTTTTTGGTATTATTGGAAAACCTGAAAGTAATTTTGTTCAAAATAGACTCATCGTGTTAGTAAAAAATTCCAAATATTCAAAATGGAGCTATTTTCTATCTGTGGGGTCCTGATAAATTGTTTATCATAATATTACAAACATTTTATCAGTTAACCATTTCTTGATATCTTTCACAGAACGTGAGATACATGAGCTCAAAGTTGACAGATTGGGTTGGCCTCAACAATTTCCAACTTTGAACTGATATATCTCGGTTCCTGTGAAAGAAATCAAAAAGTTGTCAACTGATGAATTGTTTATCACTGTATCACAAACAAATTATTAGTTGACTGCTCGTTGATATCTTTAACAGCAAATGAAATATATAAGCTCAAGCATGACAGTGTAGGATATGAAGGACCATGACACTAAATACCGTAAACTTTAATATAATGAACAACTTCAAACTTGTTAGAGCTGATTTACCTTGGCTCCTGTGAAAGATCTAAAAAAGTTGTCAACTGATAAATTGTACATCATAATATCAAAACTATTTTATCAGTTGACACATTTTTTATATCTTTCATACAAAATGAGATATGCAATCTCAAAGTTTACGGTTTCGGTGGCATAGTGTTAACCGTTACTGCGTTTATTCATTTTTGATTCAAATTATCATTATTTAATTTTATAAAATAAAAACTAGCAAAGTTTGGCAAACTAATTCTTGAAAATGCTGTATCTTTGAATTTATTGACTAAATTACCGTGAACACTAAAATAGAACGCCACCCAAGCCGTAAACTTTGACCTAGTTTATATCGGTTATTGTAAAATTTATCATAAAGTGGTCAACTGAAGAATATCTATCATGATATCAGTAACATTTTATCAGATAACTTCTATTTGATATCTTTTTCAAAAAATAAGATGAATGAGCTCAAAGTTGATGTTTTGCTGGCGTTTTATTAGAGACCATGGTATTTCTTAATTCCGGATTTTTTATTAATGTCAAAATTTATCTGTTTATACCGGACTCCAATAAATCATTTTATCAAATTGCTTATTTGAATCAAATGCAAAAAACATAAGTCGCTATCCCTCCTCCCGACATATCAATAACCCAGATTTCTCCTATTGGAAATTATATGTATTCTTAATGGGTTTTGAGAATAAATTAGTTTCCAATTCCATGTTGCACCCAGTTTTCTCTATCTTCCTTTAAAACCCAAATGTATGTTTATGTTTTTCGATCGCAATGAATAAGAAAATAAGAAAACGAGACCAATTCCCGAGTCTTGATTGATCGTCAATGTTTCGGCCAATTTGGTAATGAGAGGAACAGGAGAAACAAAAGGAAAATGGAGGAATGGAACTAGAAATCGAAATAAAATGTCAAAAACACAATGTTTCAAGTTAGAAACGATTGTTTTGTTGGTGGGGGGAATAGATCAAAAGAAAAGGAGGAGGAGGCCGTAATTTTCCTCACTTTTCTCTAAAACTAGTAGTCATCATCACAGTTTCCCAAGAAATCTTTTTGGTCTATTGGTGGTGATGTAAGTTATTATTTTTATTATCTTAACCATACACAAAGACAACTAAATCTGACCGTTGTGAACTAAGTGGATCGTAATTACCAAACGGAAAAATCTAGAAAAACAAAGAAATGCGAAAAAAAAAGTTCTAAATAGAAAGAATGACTAATAACCAGAGGATACATAGACAACAAGAGGAAAAAAGAATTTTGAAAAATACATCATCTGGTATATTGATTGGATCAGACACACGCTAACGCATGCAGAACAAAAAACCGCTGCCAACGCAACAACCCAAATCGTATTCTCATCATTTTCTGCCGAGAAATCGCGGTCTCACCCCTTCAGACACAATTGCAGAAACTAACGCAAAGAAGAGGAACAGCTGAACGTCATGTAAGTGTTCTGAGATGCCCTACGTGTACTATTCTCTATCTCTTTTCCAGCTGTTCAAAGTTCAATCAAGTGGAAAAATGAAGGAATATAAGGTTTGAAGTAGCATACGATACTTAGACATTGGAGGTCTTTTGGCAAAGTAAGGTCAATTGTTCAAAACGAAAACTCAAAAGGACAGATTTTATGAATCCTGTTATATAAAATATGGAAAATATCAATCTAGAAAAGTGCAAAAAAACGAACAACTCAATTTTTTAAAAGGGTCCAACGGACCCATAAAAAATGAAGGAATTGGGCAGACATAAGGCAGGAGGATTCCAATACACACTACCAAAGGGGGGAACAGAAGATATATGAGGATATATAAAAAACGAGAGAACTAAGATGGCAGATGCACAGGTCAACAAACGGTGTATACAAATGGTAGGCAGTGGTGTTGGTGGATGGCGGAGGAGGGAGGGGANTTATTCAAAATTGATCATGTCATTGATCGCTGGACACTGGAATCGGTCTCTAGTTCTGATGAACGAGCCGGAGAAGAGTCGAGGTCTTGCCATATTCTCCCAGCCTTGACGAGGGTCTTTTGATTTGAACTCTAATGACTCTCCGTTGGATTTCAAGCAATTCATGTTTACGTTTCCGACATTTAACACATTATAAAACTCCTCGTCAACACCATTGCTTCAGTC